ATATTTTGCTGACAATCTCAAAAATCATATTCTGATATCAGGAACTCATCCATCATTACCCTAGATTGAGCATAGGACAATATCAGTATGCATGCGCTAGTTTGCTTGCTCCTGGGGAGCCATCTACATCAGCCACACTATGTGCCAACTTGTAAGACGTGCTAGTGAACACTACTCAGCTCAGGTGACAAGAAGAGAACAAAAATACATCTTCAGCTCAGAAACAAAACGATTATTAATCTGGGGACATTAAGCTTCTTTTGATAAATCCTCCAAACTGTGTATGAAATGTGACAGAACTGCCCTAGATGAGTCAGGATAAGATATTCCGATGTAGCTTATGCACTAACAATTCAGAAGTTCCAAAGGCAGTCATGTGTTCAAAAGGAGTACGTACAACATCTTTATTTGGATGGGTTTCGTCCAGGAACAGTCACTTTATATTACTCTTTCACGATGTAATTGCATTTTACACTCCAATCATTGTTTATTTCCCTACTCTAAATCTTTACATATACTACTTAGATTTCTGGAATGTTTTCTTCCTCCTGCTACATCTTCAAGAATGTCGGACAGAGACAGACAGACAAAGTCAATGTAGAACCTTGAACACAAATGCATTGGTTCAAGTTGGCACACTTCACAATAGAATGCAAGGAATAAGTAAATAGAAAAAGATCGATATCAAAGTGGACAAATGTGTATATGAGAATAAACAATTTGATCATAAAGGTTAGTGAGAATATTCAAGCTTTAGAAGACGTCAGAGAGTTTATACGTCATTGTGGCTGATCTGCATCCACGTCGCCAAGAGTTCTCAACCACTGGTTCCTCCCGTCTCGGAGGCCATAACCAGACAGTCTGCTCGTCACATACAACTCAGATCAACCGTAAGCAACTTCATCGACTGGTTTCATGTCTTAGTCTGGTCACCCTGGACCCTCTTGAAATATAATCCTACTCCTCTTAGCAGTATACTTCTAGTATTTGGTGGTTCGGTAAGTGCAGCATATGTTGAAACCACCTCAGTTGGAGAAGATTCACAACCTCATCGATCAACTTGCTTGTATTACCTGGTACGCTTCACCTAACCTCAAGATTACTCACATGGTGACCCAACCAAACACAAGCAACGCTATGAAGACACCTATGGTCAAAAACATCTATTCTTTTTATATCTTCTACCTTAACTGCCCATGCCTCACAACCGTATAACAATACAAATCTAACTGTCATGCAATATACTTGTCCTTTAACAGGCAGTCAGATATCTCGTCAGCCGTCGCCAGAGATGATTCATGTTGGTAAATACGAGATGGGTCTTCTATGTTCGAACTCAGATTGCATCAGCAACCAACCAAGGATTCTGGTGTGACTCCCCAGATAAGTGAAGTAGTCGAAGCACTCAATCACTTCATCTCTATCCTTGGACTGGGACTAGTTGTAGCAGCAGCTATCTCACATTTGACAACTGCGACATCCATCCCAAACATACTCAGATTACTATTTGATGCGTTCAAGAGGCCCAGAGTTTTCTCAGAGTCTCCACCTAACAGGATAATATCATCCACGTACTCCAAGCCAACAAATACCCTTCAGGGATACAGATCTCCATAAGATTATATCTATTAGTACATCTACATATCTACGTCTCCCGTCAATAATATTTATGATTACGTTAGGCATTCAGTTTTCATTCTCTGCTTGAATGATTACTTTATGGCGTGCATTTTCTATTTTCACACACACAAAATAACTAAATGAACGTAATTGATTTACATATTACTGTTCAAATAATCAAGTAATTTTTCATTTCTATGCAGTGTCTATGATAATTAATCTTGCGCAAATTACACAAAACACGTTTCATCATTGAGCGCACATAAAACGTTGATAACTGTCTAGTGTTTTCAGGGCTTTATGTTTAATTACCAAGGCAGATGACTTCACAAAGCAATCCTTCACCTCTGTAAAGAAATGGGTGCTAATGAATTTTATCCAGGCAAGTGATGGAACACTCAGAACGTAGCAGCAAAGTTACGAGGACACTAAGAAAACTATCTTACATAAGTAAACGGAAAATCCCTAATATCTGTTCATAAAACAAAACCATAACAGAAGGGAAGATGTTATTTTCGACGATTTCATTGAATGAACCTGTACAAACATATTTTTTAATTATTAGAAACAAATATTAGTCCATTATTATTCAACAAAAATCACAGGATTACTCCAATGTTCAACAGTTGAATAAAAAGGTTTTCTTCAAAACAGCAGGAAGTTACTAATCTGGTCAAAGTAAAGCAGGTTAGTGAGTTCGTGTAGTGTTTTGAGCACAGAGATCAGATTTAATATTGTGAGTTGCTTATAACACGAATCGATGCATATCGACGTGATTCTTTCTCTCTTTACAAACATTGACTTAATCTAGACTATCCAGTTCATACATGTCTACACTAAGTTCAATGACCTGGATTTTGCCATACCTGTCAACTTCTTGAAAAAACCTATTATCTTCTGTGGTGTTTTGTGAAAAAATCTCACACAGCTAGCTTGAGAATCACATTCACAAGTATATGATAATGCAGTAGATACGTTAAGAAAAGAATATGCTTCTAGCCACCTCAATATGCGTCGATTCGTTTATTTGTTTTTGTTGAACAGCATACGCTAGCCGTATACAGTGTTAAGTCCATAAGCGTGTTTTCGAACATTCTCTAGTTCGACTACCCAGAGAAGAGAGAAAAATCTCAACAGTTATACTGATGAGCATACCATCATCCCCAAACATCCGGCCTCTACTAGTGGTTCCTTCAATGTAAATTACAGTGTCCTCCTACAATTTCGAAAGCTTTCGACTGTATCATCTCTACATACCCATATTATAAGCAACTCACAATATTAAATCTGATCTCTGTGCTCAAAACACTACACGAACTCACTAACCTGATTTACTTTGACCAGATTAGTAACTTCCTGCTGTTTTGAGGAAAACTTTTCTATTCAACTGTTGAACATTGGAGTAATCCTGTGATTTTTGTCGAATAATAATAGACTGTTATTTGTTTCCAATACTTTTCAATGAAATGGTCAAAAACGAAGAATGTTTCGGTGTTACGTTTTCGTTTTATTAATAAACTTCACTTCAAAGCACAGGGAAGTCCATTCAAACACGCAGGAGACTATCCGGCAAATTCTTCAACGAAAACGACAGTAAAATTAATAGCATACGGTGCCGTTTTCAGTGGGTCTGTGCCAAGTTTCAGTCAGAAACGACAACCCTGAAGGTTAATTAGTTTAAATGCGTAGTAAAAGCAGATTTTTTTACAGAAAATCAAGGTAAAATTCGAGATACTGGAGCAAAAGAGACAGTTTAGTGTATCCTTTTTGTATCTTTGCTTACACTGATGCTTAAAAGACTTACTTTAAAAAAAATTCTAAACGATAAGAGTAAAGATATAAGCCAATGGCCTGTAATCTAACAAGTAACTCATATTCATCTAAAGTGACAGCTAAGTGAATGTTATAGTGCCCTAAAAAGACATTGAACCGGCTGCTGAAAACATGAATCTTGATGAAATTGAACTCATTACAATTAGTTGCCATACTAGGATTAAGACGGAGATAAAAGTAATGTTGATTTAAGGCGGGGCTATATTTCCGTTAATGAAACGCTAAACTCTGAGAAATATTTTATATGATCTACTTACATAAGCAGAAGTTAACAGATTCCATCAAGTTGCTGTTACACGAGAAATAGATATTTTACGCTACTTAACTGAACATGGTTCTTAAAGCTGCCAGTCAGATGCGCAAGCATCGATGAATACACCACAGTGAATATTGTGGGATAAATACAAACATGCTGAGAAGTCTTTTTTATATTTCCAAATGCATTTTACATCTCTTGGTCATCCATCTATTCACAAAAATACTTTTAAAGTGAACGGACGAACGTATAAACATATGTCTGACACAAAGATCTTTTATGCAGCCAATCCCAGACTAAGCTTGTCTGTTTACCCAGTCCTTTATTCTTCATGATGTATAAGTTAACTATTTTGGCAACCTCTAAGTGCTTCTATTCATTCATCTGTCGCAAGAAAATTTCTAGAAGTATGGTATTACAATAGGCACTTGGAATTAGACCCAATGTAGAATCAACATAAGAGGTGAACTGTTATCCCTCGACCAACTGAAAATTGGTAAAACAAATCAAGCACAGTATGACTGTTATAAATAGCACAATTCAACTCAAACAAATGGTTGCTTTCAACCTGACCAAGTGAAATACCAGATCAGAGAGGTTAAGATGCGATAAGTATTTCTTCTTCAACTTAGAACATTAAAACTCAGCAACAACACTACCTAAACATTCGAGTACCATTCTAATATGCTTCACTTTGTAATGAAGTTAGTGTTGAGGATCTCATCAAGCCTGGTGATGAAACATCAGGAAGAATAAAACATTACATTTAAAAAATGCCAAACCACTGTTAACATATTTGTCCTTTAAAACAAGTTTCTACGTGCTTTTTTCATAGTAGTGATCTGTTTCATGTACTGAATAACCATGAATGCAAGCATGCTTCCGTGAATTTTTCTGCATTCTATCATTATTTTCTAAGCAAATTTCTTTTATTTTCTTGTCATTCATTAATCGACTATCAGTATAGTCTTAAAATGTCCCAGGATACACCTTATATATCTGTTAATCAGGGCAACTATCTGTAGAGGTTCATTAATATTCCCAGTCAGTGATCAGTAGTGGTATGATAACAAAATTAATCAGGGTAATTCTGACCATGAATTGACCTTGAGATCATTATAAACACAAAACCCAATCGATAGTTGAAGGCATGGCAGTGGTTGGTAATCATGTTGTGAAAACTAACGTAAAAATAAATCTATTTTCATCACATAGTTCAAGTGATTATCTAACTGTATTCAAAAGGAAACAAAATAACAAAAGAATACAAATGTATCACAACATAACATACATGCATAGTACAACGCCATTGTTGTAATGCAGCAGTTGACAATTCCATACGTTTCTTTTTTCATCCTTACGTTTCACGCATAAAACTTCAACAAATGTCAATATAACTCCAGCCACTAAACCCATACCAATCATAATGAATACTCCAGCCATATTTGTTAAGCCTAATGTTGCAGGGCTGGATTCAGTTCTTTCACAATTATTCGATTTTATATGAATCCATGTTGTATCCAAAGTCTCCATTATTCCTCCTGTTGTTACCATAACGAAAAAAAGTGAAACAAATAGATTAACTAATTTTATAAGTAAGTACGTTTTAATATAATCTCAGAGTGTTCAAAAAATCAAAACAAGATTTTTCTCTTTGTTTTTTTTTTCTATAGGAGAAAGAGATCCCACCAAAACATGCCATAATCTCATTTTCTCATTTACTGTTATCCATAAGTTTATTTTCAAATTCTTCGGCGTTTCTAGTGTTTAACAGAATATCATATTATATAATGATTAAACCAAACTTGATGCTTGAATTCTTCTGGGACATTCGTAGCAACTTCGGATTGGATGTTTATAATATTAACAGATTAAATGACTACAGAGAGCACAAGTGTAATGGCATAAAGCTCTAAAAATGTTGGTTGCATAATCATTTGTAGATTTCGAACTGACACATGGATTTCTATCAGCGTTTAATAAATATTTAAAAAAGCCATACCGATTACCATCTGGTCACCGATTCGTGAATAGTCATCCTCTCAATAACTAAGCGATTTAATCTCTGAAGTATTATCACGAACTTGTGAACTTACAATTCAACATTGCAGATACACTTCTGTAATGAGTATCAAAACAAAATTAAGTTACATAGCTTCTTGTCAACTCCCTTCAAACAAATTTGAAGTAATTCAGAAGATAATGTGAAAGGTTGACAGGCATTGAGTACTGTGTAGATGGTAACTCTAGACTGATAATTAGTCTTACAGTAAAACAAAGTCACTATCCACCACTACTAAGTTTTCAATAGTTTTCGGCATGAGTAAGGCTTGAAAAATAATATGCTCAAATTAGTTGAATACGCAAACCCAGTCTTTCAGATATCAGTAAATTCATGTATAAATCGTAAGTAATGGGTTATGCACAGATATATTCCATGTGTTCATACAAGTTAGTTAGCTTGCACCTTTCGAATTTTTCCACCATTTTACTCAAATTTAAGACAGGAGAATGAAATATAAGTAATTACTTATGTATAGAACGATATGCATCAAAAAAGGGCCATTAGGTGTTAACTAATGCAGTCGCCGAATCGTAAATGATGACAAAGGTTTATTGCTCAAGTGAGCAGCGTGGTCATTAAATTTGGCAGTATGACACTAAGATGTATTTTTTTTTATATCACATATAAGAATTCACTGAAAAACAAGTCTTCGATGTAGGTTGCATACTTGTTGCCATTAAACCTTGGAGGAACAAATGCCCAGATGAGGCTGATCAAGTTACAACTAAACACCTCTAAAACTGGATAAGACAGGTACACTTATCAGTCCTTTTAGCAATGAATGGTACAAGGTGAAGACTGTTGGGAAACATGTTTCAGATAGTGTTTACTTAGACGCACCGACAAGTATCATACCTAGATAAAGCATAACGTGCTGCCGACTGACGCCTATTAAAAACAGATTCTAGGTGGATTAACGAAGGATTAGGTTATTGGAGAAAGCATTGTTTGAGTATTTGGTTACAGCTCAACTTTAATGATAACTGAGCAATCCCTCCTTCGAAACGCAGGTAGTAAAGCTCAAAAATATGAAAACAACTAACATGACCGCGTTTAATCGCATAGTTTAACTTCCAACGCGCATTACTCAGCAAAAATAGTGTTGAAATCAAAAGTCAGAGAGGTAGATACAGCTGTAGCTCTGTGGAAATACCAACGCATGATATTGAAGATTTGAACGTTCGAAACCATTAATTTAGAAGTTTCAATGGAGCTTCGGCGCTTTTTTTTGTCTTTACTGGTAGGGTAAGCATGCAACTCACTGCATGATTCTACGTATAAATGATACTAAAAATGTGTTCCGAATGACACTGATTTTTGGCATCAGCCTCACTCTCAGACACTTTTTTCCATGGAAGTTTAAGCGTTCTGCATAACTTTTCTTAACTAATCACGTATACAAGATGGATATTGGTAAGAACAACTGCTGCTTTCTCAGTTATAAGACTATTTTGCTTATTTATCTGTACTGTAATGTAAATAAGTTGGATAAAAAGTGATATAGTTCTTCCTTTACTTTTTTTTTAATATTACTCCAATTGCCTATCCTTGTTTATACATGCATTCATGAAAAAAGAAATGGCATAAGAAAACTAAGTTAATAGGCAATCTTTTAATGACATAATAATTCTTTTGTTTGCTGTCTTTGAATCTTTATCAGATATTTGATATATCTGTACCTCCAGTGGATGGGCACATATATATTCTATATTAAATTGGAACATATGTCACACACTAGTGAGAACAATACGCTGTGAAATATCCAGAAAAAGCATGAGGAACAAATAAGATATGGAGATAAAAAAAAGAACTGTTTGAAGTGAAGAAAAACTTGAAAAAGATAAGGTTCTTATAATTCCGTTAGAATGAATGATATATTCAAAGAGATGCTTTGCTGTTGTGCTGACAAAGTACAACTACTATTGGAATAGATTGAACAGTTGTTTTTCAAACATTATATCAAAATGGCCCTGGCTGCTCTTAACGGTTAATCAGTAATCATTTTGAGTATTCATAAACAGTTGAAACTGCTGTGCACGAGGGTTCAAACCGATACCATCAAAAAATCTCGTATACTATTCTTATACATTGGATTTTTGATAACTTATAATACCAATATGGGACCAACTTTTTGTTTAAGCTTACGGTTGTCACAAAAGGTTTTCAGCATGAAATTAATATCTGTAAAATGCGTAGAGCTGAAAAGAAATGTGAAAACCTGTTTGCCAACTATGACAGTTCACTAATTCGTCAACCGATCAGTTAAGAAAAATAGGTCATTTCCAATAGTTAATGACATCCCCTCACATATTCTGTTAAAATTGCTGTGTATGATCTAGTTTCTTGAAGCCAGTTTGCACTACTTATAACTAATTCTACGAACAAGTGAGATTAACTTACTTTCATGAAAGTTTAAAACAGCTTGTGACAGTTCATACAGCCAGGGATTCCGTTTTTTCATTACTAAACCATAACTGTTGCGACCAAACACTTCACCTGCGGTAATCAGTTCACAATCCACGGAAACTTCATAGTTCAATCGTGCAGAATCCCATATAAATGCTTTCAGAGAACCAGATTTAATAGCCTTTCAAAATAAAAAAGATATATTAGGTATCTACATGTTAACAGTTCCATTGATAACCATACTAACAAGAGTGCAGGTGAATGAATAAAAGCTTATTTCGTACTTTCACATATCTGCTTAGCAGAAAATAGATATTTACTATATACTGGTGAACAATTTAGCTCAAATTATGGCCATAGAACGTTTATGCATTGTGAAATCAATTGATGAAGAGAAATTCTAACGATTGATTCTGATAAAAAGCAGTAATTCGGCTCAAGATATTACAAAAATCCAAAGCTCATCACTGTGTGTAGCTATTCACCGTAAACATATTTATAATAAGCGTAACACGTAATAAACTAATATCAGTCTTAATATAAAAACTGACATTCATTCGGATTATTTTACATCCTACCAAACTAAAACATAGCATCACTTCGTGAAGCCTCCAACTCTTGGTTTGAGCAGTGTAGGGAAATTTGGACTCTGTATTTAGAGTTCACATGACAAACGAAACTGGTAGTTGGAGACTGTAGTTGATATTGCTTAGAATCGACCTCTGTGTTGTAGATACATCGACACATTATTTTTTATTTTTATTGCCATGTCATACTTTATTATTGTCTTACCGCTTTCCCTAACTCCTCTTGGCTCGTAACCACTTAGATTACTTTTTCTCTGCCTCACAACCTTTCATCTTGATGCCTTCTATCTTGATGTGCTGATGTAAGGTGTGACAGTTCAAGCTGTCATGTACTGATGCCACTTCCGATACTGATATTGATGAAGTAAGTGATTTCACATCAATGAGGTGTATTTTATTACCACTGGAGATTTGCGTGTTAACCTACAAAATCAAATACAACTACTTATAAAGTTAAGACATAGAGTATTTGTTAAACGTAGTTTTACGTTAATATTTCAGTAAAACAAGTAACTAAAACAGTAGGCTATGAATACACTCCAAGTTCAAGGAAAAGCTCTGAGGTAATGAAGTTACTCAACTAACTTATTTAAAAAGTTACGTCGGCATCGATAGGCCAATTGTTGAGTGAATCTGAGATCGGATACAAAAAGACCGTTTGGCACTTGATAACTTATGTCCTTACCGGGACCATCTAGATATCCGACTTCATGTCAGAGTAGGAATATAATGTGAAGCAGTCCACTGTAGTCTATTGTGAAGCTGCCAAACATGGCTTATAACAGTAAAAAACATGAGGCTTTGGAGTGACGACCACTGGTATCTGCATAGCATTGTTCACGTTTAGTAGAATCAAAATTTACGCAATGTTGAGACTAGGTAAAAGGTAACATGATCGATGACGTCGTGATTATACACCAACTGAGGTGATACAGACTTGCATTCCACAAGCTGAACCATCATAGATGTCGATGTTCGATGTTAGCCCAAAAAGGATTAGCCTGCAAACATCTAAAGATAACTAGGCCAAAATACGACACAGACCTATATGTTTTGTGCTGGTCTGTACCATATAAATAGGCTTAGGCTATCAAGATAGGGCTCTCAAGATGATAAAAAGCAGTGGTTGATGATTCAACATCATACAGTTAAAAATCCATCACAATGATGCATATGTAATTACTCTCCATCATCTTCGAAATTTCTAGGATTTTTTCTGACTTTCATTTATCTTTTTTTCACGAAACACTTTTGTTGACTTAACATCCTTCTTTCCAGACTGCTGTGAATGGTAGTATTATGAACTATTGTTGCAGTGTGCAAGGTTTTACTCTGATTTATCTGTCTCACTTTCATTCCAACAGTATACTTTCAATGACTTGCATAAATTTGATAAAAGATCACATTTTAGCTCTTTTATATTGTTTGAATGATCAACTTCATCATGATTTACAGAAGTTAAAGTGAAAGCTTTTTCCGTTTCTAACTTCATATATTTTAGTGCAGTAGTTAAGCAACAACAAGAAAAAAACCTTCAACAAATATAAATCTCAGAATAATAACTGTAACTTCGAAAAGGTGCCATTTATCATGTTTCTTTTTCTCATCACTTTATTCAGTGGTTCTTCAGCTTACAAACACAATCATCCATTTCTTGAACTGGATAAATACATATGAGTTATAATCTAACCTGAATCGCATCTTCAACAGAATCATAATTATTTGTCTCCATTACACGATACATTGTGGCGAACTCCACTTGTCTTTTGAAGTACATCTCCACAGGGCTACCACGGATAGTAGCGAATAAAAAGTCTTTTTGAGGATTACGAAGCTGAAATTAGAAAAAAAAATTAATATTTGATACCACATGGTCAATAATTTAACGAGGAAATTGGAAGAGTAATTACTAATCCCAACTGGAAAGACGATCTAATCACCGAATATTTCACTATGGACAGAGTTAACGAGAGTAAGTGTATTTATTATTACTAACTCTTATGATATGCGAACAAAACTAGTAGTTCTATGATGTTATTGCTTGTTGTTCACTGGACCAAATCGATTGGTCTCTATTGACATGTGGGGCCCATGCGCGGATGCCTCTATATTGCCAATAGTTTCATTTTGGTGGTAATGATGAATAGTGGCTAGTACAAGAATATTGGATGGGCGTTTTTATCCTATTCAGGGCTTGTTAGCAAAACTTACCTGCATCTCAGAGTGTGGTTGTTCCCAAGAAGACTACGACCAAGGACCGGTTGCTTCAGACGCCAGAGTGCTATCCGTTTAACTACTGAGTCACGATAGCCACTCCTTGTGCAACAGGCATATTAGCGTTATGTTGCTGAAGATTTATCAATGAAAAATTATTGACATGTAAAATATCTTATCTGAACGTGTTTTGACTTTAGTGACTGACAACTGGACGACCAATACATCCTGTGAATAGCCGAGTCAAATATGTCTTCATCTGAGGCTTGTGTGAAACACATAGAAAGTCTTTTTCAATAAAGTTTCAGCAAAGTTAATAATTTTCTCTAGCTTTCGAAGTATGTTGATATGTTCTTCGCTGTCTCTTTCGGTTATTTACTCAAAGTGGATATTCGTTTTGTCAAATAGCTGAAATGTGGAATTTTAGCTCATTGATCTAGCGAGTTGTCTTTCAATCGGTGCATTACGGATACGAGCACTACCCAACCAACTATGGTTTGGGCAGCCAGGCATCATCATTAGCCCTCACACAACAAATATGGTCCATTACTTACTGCTAACTTAGTGGTTCTTTATACAACGAATACAGTGGTGGAAATATGGTAAGTTCACCAAGAAATATAAGAACTAAATATGGACAGCGCCATTTCAATAATCTATTCAAAAGGGAAAACGTTTTCCTAATAATTTTTAAATATAAATATGATTCAGACGTGAAAAAAAATAAATATGTTTAGGACAAGGTAAGATGAAGACCATTTTTAAACCGGAGGCCGGTGTTTCTAATCCTGCCGCAACTCAGCTACCCACTTTACATTCAGTCATCACCCATTTTCAATAAAAACAGTCTTTTAAGCGGCAAATATCTCAGAAATTCTCATTATTAGTTGATACAATGCTCTCCTACTCTAATTTATTTGGATTTGGGTTGGGACAAGAAAATCTGAGTAGGTAGCCAGTATGATTACTATGACTAGGGAATTACATATAACGGATTCATGTGGGGGTCAAGCAAAACCTTCGGTGATTGAAATTAAGTCGCCATTAAGTTTCACAGATCAGTTGTCAGAACATGCATCAGTAACCTGGAAGCTGGTGATTCGAGTCCCGCTGAATTCTAGGCTTCGATTTTACCTTCAATCATTCCATTGTATCAACAATATTTAAAGTTCAAAGATAAGTTCTTGTCGTTTCGCAGACACCATCAAACTGGAATATGCATCAGCATAATCTTGTCATTCATAAATAGGTTGTCTTTAAAAGTAAATGCATATACAAATATAATTTAGTGCTTAGAGGATAAATACAATATCTGCTCACACATGCAATTAAACACCTACTAAGGAATCTATTTTGTGTAATATTTCCCGGAAATATCGACTTCTGAAGTTCATTCACTTTTTTGGAGGACAGTTTCCATTGTAAAACAAGCATTGTAGGATGCGATCAGTGGCGGTAAGTAGTGATCTGGACATAGGATAATATGTCTCTGCGTAAAGAAGGAGCCAACACCTTCCAACATAGCACAGCAAAGGTGAATGGAGGCTGATATATGCCCATTGAAAAAAAAATGTAATTAAAAGTAGCGTATAAAGAGCTATAATGTGGGGAAACAGTTGCGTCTAATGGGTGTCAGTTGGTTGACGGTAGTCGGAAGGAAGTCCTCAACACAGATTCTTTGCTTATTGGTACTTTTCAGCAAGACATATCTGCAACCTTGAAGGAAGTGATGTCTCCTTTGAAACTGGGACCCGTACCATCCAGTGCTGCACTCAGTGACTACCACACTATTCATCAGAATGTACGACGATGGAGAGCTCCCTAGCCTGATGGCCACACTGTAAAATGATTGATAGTATTCGGTCAGACCTCAGAACTAGACAGTAGGAAAATGGTTTCTTTCCAGTGACCAAACAATATAAAGTAGTATCTATTAACACCGGAGTTATCATGTTAAATATTTTTGTGTCTTGCATTTCTTACTATCTTTGCGGTAGTTCTCTGAGTTTTTGCTAATGTAGAAGATTTGCGTACACTGAGACTTTGGTGAAAAGAGAAACAGAAACTGTTCTTTAGTTCTTATTGGTCTATATCATTTTATTTCCACACAAAAACCTATGTGTCCAGTCATAATAGTTAGTGTTTCACAAGCAATCTGAGTAGCAACATAATTGGAAATGTATTTCAGCATATACAAGTTTACACAACTATCTATCTAATACAATACCAATGTTCAACCACATATCAACAGTTACTCAAAGGTAGTGGTCATCAATTACATACGTTTCTTTTTTTACATTCAGCATTAAAATACAGTTGACAGGAAGTAGAATAAAAAGCGAAAAGGCGATGCGTATTCAGATAGTCATACATATATCAGTCTTATGCTTTATGTCTCTTATTTTCAAGAATATCAAAGATGCTGAGTTTGCTGTCAACCAAGTAGACCTAGACATCAATGACATAACCAGCGAAAAATATTAGGCTAACCAATAAATGCATCGTATGCAATAATAACTACGATTATATCTGACTACATTGTTTTAGCTTCATGAAAGATGTATGTAAAGAGTGTGAATGAGTCACGAACGATTAGAATTCACAACAGAAAACTGTATTTCATCTACTGTAATTAAGGAAAGTAATAAATAGCTAATATAAAACTTTTTTAAACAAATTAACTATGAATCATGGCAGAAAGTGCTGTCTTGCTTTTGTCAGCCTTTATTGTTTCAATAATTAGGTCGAAATGGCAAAGTGCACTGTGTAGAGCATTAACGGTATGCTTTTTATTACTACACTTAAAATATCGGTTGTTTCTTGTTGCCGTCTTACTGTGAACATCTCCCTCTATAAACTGAAAGATTTAGGCATATATCGTCCTGATAAGAGTAAGAATAATAATCTTTGTCATTTATTAGCTCTATTCTCTATTATATTGAGTGTTAAAAACGTATATGTACATTGAAACTGTACGGCATTTAATCCATTGTACACATGAACAATAAAATAGTTTATACCAACATCCTACCCACACTTGATCCACCGATTAGAGATGATGGTAATTTCTCACATTAATCGAAAACGTTTTGAATCGCATGTTCAAATCAGTTTCTATTTTGAATGACTTTCTGTTAACTGGTATTTCACTTCAATTACAGTGTCTATAAATACTGAGGTGATATTTAGCATAAGATTATACCATATTGATCTCGTGGGTATAATACGACCTTTTGTTTTCTTCACGAAAATCACACCGATATGAACTGTGAATAAATCAACCTGGTTTAAGCTTTGTAAAGTGACTTCCCTAAGGTTTGCCAAAATGTTTTATAATGCATGCATCAGACAGAAGCATATGATAGTTGTGTCAGATTTATACCATAGAACTCTCATACGGCCAGTTTATAATTAAGAAACGTATGCTTTGATGGATTTCAAAATGAAGTAGCTGAACTGAAGGTTCCTAATCATGAGTTTGTCTAACCAATAGAATCCTGACCATTTTATTAGTGGATAACATGCTACCCATCGTTTAGAATGCAAAATACTACCACTAGCCAATAGCGTGCATACTGAACAAAGACAATAAAGTATTCAGTGCTTTATATACCAACTGTTCAATGATTCTATATGTCTTGTTTGAAATGGCAAGTGAAACAATTGTACAAGTCAATCTCTTTAAGCGTTTGACGAGTCACCTTAAATTTCATTGGCTAAGAACTGGAAAGTATTATCTCTTGTGTAAGGGGATCATTCCACATATGTTTATCTAAACTATCAGCAATAATGGAGGGAAATACAACTATTTACTAAGACTATCAGAGTAAACCTTGGCCATTTTGATAGGAAGTAATTCAATGTTATTTGCTTTACCAAAAATATCACACGGTGAAGCAGTATAATTTGCTGGAAAACATTTCTTGATATGCCTGTCAACGATTAATAATGTCGGAAACACTACTCAGTAAGTAATACTGCTTCAATAAGTGATAAATCTATTAAATCAACTAAAGTAGAATGTATGAAGAGGTCAGAAATACTCTGCGGTAGTCTACTTTGTCCTAACCTATGGTTTATGCATGAAAAATGTAGATAATGAGTGTGACTCCATATGGTTTTCTCTTTCTGTTACTGTATCTGTATGTCACATCTGTTCCACAGTTGGTCAGCTTCAATAGAGTCGATTGTACACTGATATTTTCATTTTCTTGTATCAACCTAACGTGAACCAACTTGAAATTGTATAGTATAAAGTTACAAATAAGGTTGTTCCAAGTTTAGGTTAGTCATACATCACTTTTGGACTCATCCTAATGTTTGTGGTTTGCAATATTTTGAAGTGGGAGAAGATTTAGAATCAATCAATATGACCACAATGAAGACTGGGTTATTATTTGATGTTTGTAATTTCTCCTTGCACAAGACGTGGCTCTTGTGCTGCGTTGGCTTAGTGAACGATGCCTTGGCATTTGAAGTGATGGGTACTAGATCCGATTATCAGTTTGCGCAATTACATCCAGACGACGAGTCTCGAGAAGGACGAAACGCATGTCCTGGATCCCACTACAAGTCACACAAACAGTGGATTATGTTACAATGATCAATTTAAGTAGATAG